GAGCCTGGAATTGGGGGCGAATGTCATAATCTGAGACTATCCGTGACTGGCTCAAAGCAGGCTGAGCTCATATCGTTTCAAACATGCCTCTTTCATGGAGTGGGTCCCACAAATGCCACTCAACACTCAACTGGACAGCCACGAAGTGCAACTATCCTTCAGTATGCCTGCAAAGTCATGAATTAACATCTGAGCAACCCCTGAGACCTTTTGACACGTGTATATTCAGGTTTGCACGGGCGTCACTGTTAAGAATCGGATTTGGGCGCTCTCAGGATAGCGTGTGGGGTGGTCTCGCCTCGATAGCCTCTGCCGACAGGTGCTCCCTGCCATTGGGGTATGTGATGTGTCAAAACAGGGAGATCCCCCCAACACAACAACAACCACTGTGGGTTTGTTTGCTCACTTTTCATTTCCCTTAAATGCTGAAAGGGGCACCCTTGTTTGCGCCGTCACCGATCCTAAGCCATGCGCTTTCCACGAATTATGATGTAATATTCCCCAATAATGTTCTTCCTTTGGTTTCCCCGGATTCCTTCTCACCATAGGACCATAGTTGTGCTTGTGCCTCAATGTCCATGGTTGTGTTTTATTGGTGATTTGTTGACCCAGGATTAATAAACCCGTGCCATCATTAGGGGGGGTGTTCCCTCCAAAAGTGGTCTGAAGCTCCACTAAAAGGGGACACCCCCCCCGATCAAAATCAACCAGGGTTCTGCTTAATCCGGGGTTAACATTGGACGATTCCCGCAGCCCATTGATTGGAGCTGAACCTTGGAGCTCCAGGCCTCGCTGGACTCAGTTTGGCACCAGGATGGACATGTGGCTAAACTACTGATGGACGAAATCCATGCAACGCACCACCCAAAAAACCCGAGAATGATTCGATTCCCCTGTAAATACCAACAAACAATGGTTTCCCATGGTTTCAAAGTAGTGCAGGATTTCGTCCATCCACAGTAGGGATGTGCCTTGGGATATTTTAAGGACACTTGCAGGAACCTCATCTGGAGGCGTCCAAGTCGTTTTGAGCTACACGACAGGCCACAACAACCGATACGCTCATAAAAATGAACAGGAGTTAGAGACTCTTCCCTTGAAAAGGGCCGAAGGTACGTCACAGTGTGTCCTTTGAGGCTACCCTGAACCAGAAGGGACACCCACCCGTTAAGGGGCCCCAAATGAGCCGCCGGCCAGATTTGAGTCCGCCTCCGAGGTGGTGCGCGAGAGCCTGCAGCTGGCTGCATCGAGCCCAAATTGGGAGCCCGCGTCTACACCTGAGAGCTCCCTTGCGGGAGGTTGACACACCATTTGAGTGGGAAAATGCGGGAAACGAACAGTTTGCAGACTTTTCGGGGCCAATCCACTCAAGTGGTTGAACATGTTGGTTGCCGGGAGAGGTCATCCCAGAGGCTCCTCCAAAGGAAGCTACACGAGTTGCCAACGCCTCTTGTTCCAGCCTGCAAAATACATACGCACATCCCTCACGGAAGCGGTGGCTGCTCGTTGCCTGACAGTTTCAATTCTTGACTGTTCTGCCCAAAATCTACCTGTTCGGGGAGTGACATTCAACTAACAACCAGTTGGAACATCTGGGGCCTGGAAAAACATGCAAGAACTATCCTCTCCTTGAGAAAGCTTCAACACGGCTTCCTCATTATTTTTCCCCAAAGGACCCAGAAGTAAAAGGTGATGAGCGTTTACCACTAAACATGGGAAGCCAAAAAGAACCCAACAAGGTCAGTTCAGGTCGATTCGTCTTAGCTGCATCAACTGCAGCTGCTCAGTGTGGCAAAAAGACGCCGAGCGCCGGGCTTTCGAACCCAGCCAGCACTGCTAGACTTGCTGGGCCTCACCGACATGGAGATGCGATCACAGCAAAAGCCCCCCAAAAACAGCGCTGGTTTCTTGGGGTCCCAAACGAAACCAAGCTGAAAAGGGCACCCCTGCACAACACACACACACACACACAAACTCATACGTGCTAGTTTGGGAGCCTGCCTGCCTGATTGCAGGTCTGCCTACCTTTCATGGCTGACCCGAAGGTCGTATGTTGGGGCCGCTGTCTCAATGGCGTTGCGGGCCCACAAGTTTAAGAAACCGGGCTTCGCAAGCTGCCGGAGTAATGTTAATCCCGGATTAATCAACCTGGTGAAATTCAGAGGGAGATACCCGCTCCCAAATCAATCATGGGGTTTGTGAGTCCCAGGTACGCAACAAGCCGCGGACCAAATTACGAATGTTTCTTGCAAAATGACATGGGACATTTTAGGCGCCCTCCCTGGTTTTTGTGGGGAGCTTTAGAGCTCGTCTCCGCTTCTCGTCTCCAACTGGGCCACAGGCTACCAGTAATTTTAACTAAGGTACCCGAGACCAACGGCAAAACTATTTTGGGGTTTCTCATGGTTTCTCCATTGTTGTTTTCATTTTGTAGGGGCAATTACCCTTTTTGGGGGTTGGCTAAAAGGGAACCACCCACAAACTACCCATTTTGAGGTTCCCCCATTCTAGTGACCAAAATCGAAAAATCCAACCTCCCCCATGCAACGCAAACCATCATGAAACCCAGACCAAAAGGCAACGGTTTCGACATAGACCCATGAATCGTACGCCCGGAGCGGCTGGCAGCAGCTTTCCGAGCTGCCGACTCCGCAGGCAGGCGCACCCGCGTGGTGCTCGCCATGCCATTCTCCGCTTTCCGCATGGCAACGAACCAGCGCCGAACCGGAACGCGGTCTTCGGAGGGGGACCAGCGGGCGTTCCCTTTGGCCGAAACACGTTGTGCGTTGTAGGCGGTTTCTTGGACTAACCAGGTCAGGGTGTGTTGCTTTTTCTGTGACTGGCAAAACCCCCTAGACCTGGCAGGTGGAAGCTTCGAAAAGGGTGAGCAAGCTGCTTTCGCTCCTGTGCGAGAACCTCCATGTGTGCAGACCATTTTGCATTGATCCAAGCGGTCCGACTCGAAGCTGATCCTGAAGGAAGGCCACGTGCCAGGCCAAAACTCCCTGGACTAGTGGAGATGGTGAAAACCAGTAAAAGAACGTGCCACTAAGATCCACTAAGAATATTGTCAAATATAGTTCTTAGAAGTCTAACAATGGTGTCCCTCCCCTCCTAATGCCCCCCGTTTCCCTTCTTCACATGCAATCAACAAAAAGCTGAGGCTGGCAGGGTGCCAGCATTGCCCCCGACCCCTTGACATGAGCTTGCACGGAAAACCCAAGTGTTTGCTTTCAGCTAAATACAACACAAGCATAGCCAGGATAGCTAGCACCAGGGCTGACAAAAAAGACAGTGTTCAAATCTGAAATCCGGTTTCTTGATGGCAAGTCCACTTGCTAATTCGTGGCTCACTCCGTTCATGCCCTTCCCACCGGTCGCAAACCCATGAGTTTGGAGATGGGTCCAGCCACGACAAAGCACAACCAGCAAATGAACATCCACACTTTGGTAAAACGTGTTGGAGACGCAAGCTTCCGTGACCTAATTTCCTCACTCCCAACTTCTGCCCGCGGCAGAAGGCGGCAGAATGTGCATCTTCCTGTGCCAAAGGCAACAAATACAGCTTCGCACGAATTTGCTTGACGGGCACTGTCACAGTTGAATACAATCCAGATTTGATACTTTTTGCACGCTCAAGAAGTTGTCCTCCTCGATTGCTGGATTGCCCAATGCGAAAGCAAATGCATTGTGTTGCAACGAAGGAGCTGGGCAACAAAAACCCATACACTTGCAAGGGCTGGCATGCACATTTGGACCATGCAAAAGGGACCCCTGCAAAGTCGGAGCCAGCCTCTCAATAGCATCCTTTGCTCACGTCTGTGTTCTCTGGCAGCTTGCTCGTTTTGTGGCATTGGAGCGTTGCAGCAACTATCCTGTGGGAACCCGCACTTAGCCTCGCTTTGCCAGCAGCCGATTGGATTTTTCCCTGCAGCCAGCTTGCAGCGCTAAATCTTTCGATCAGCGTGGTAGCGCCAGCAAACAGGACCAGCCAGAAGCCCTCTGATTTGCCGCACGCCAAAAAGCGGGATGGCAGTCTTATGGTGTGTTTTCCTCTGAGGCCTTTCTCAGTTTGCTGCTGCCACTATGCATCACGCTGGAAACGGGCATTAATTGTGCAAACGCCTTTCAGCGACTTGTTCACTGGACGCTCGTCAGAAAGAGCACGCCACAGGTTCCTCTCATCGCGTCATGACTCATGACACACAACGCCCCGATGGAATTCCGACACCTTGCGATGCCGAATTTGTGTCACTGAATCTGCAGCCCTGTGATCAATAAATCATGCTGGCTGGTTCCCACAGCTACAATAAGCACCAACACACGTCTGAACATGAAACCAACATGGTAGAGTAGCCTGTCCAGGTCTTGATTGCCACCATTGGACCATCAGGTGTGAACACACATGTTCGAAAGCATCTATTTGCCCTGATGACGCATGTACCAACAAGGACTGTTGAAACAAAACCGTGGCGTGGCACGCCCAAATATACTGCTCACCCTGCAAGCCCCGCATATTTCTGCGAGCACCCTCAGAAGTGGAGGGTGCCGTTTGCTTGCAGCGTTCAGCAGGGTGGGTCTACATGAAATCAAATTGTCCCACCCTGCGAGTCAGTCATACACAGCCAACGGCCATAGTCTCAGTGCTTCTACGTGCCAGAACGATTCTAGAGCTTGCAAAGCTTTGTGGTACCTACATGGCGAACATTCACCGAATTCAGGGAACCTGCTCAAAAAAAAAGAGCCTTCATTGGTAGAACCAGTGGTTCATCCTTCGGCAGCTAGCTTGATCTATGTGGGGCGCATGGGCGACTACGCTGAATCTCCGGAAAACACGCAGGACCGACAGTGTGACAAGGACGATTCAAGTATGGGGTGATTTCTTGTCCCGTCAAAATGGTGGTTGTCTTTTTGGCTTCCCGTTAAACAATCAACAAAAAGGGTACCCTCAAGAAACAGGACGAACGATAGGCATCCCTTTTGTAGAACTTCGGACACGGGAGATGTCAAAGATTTCAGAAGCACCGAAAGCATCACTTCAAAAATGCGCTCGCGCAGACTCTGCAATCACACGCCGGCCACGTCGGGATCCCTACCTTGGGGCAACGGGTCCCTCGAAAGACCGCCACGCCAACGGTCAAAGCTGAGGATTTTGGACTCCTTTCAAGAACACCCTCTCCACTTCCACGGTTGACCCGGAACCACCCAAGGCTTGAATCAGAGACTGGCATTGGGATGCTCTGGTTCGGGAGCATACAGCAACCTATGTGCACCGCTGAATGCAATATACATATCCCGGAGATGGCATCATCATTCTAATCTACTAGGCCCGTATACCATACATACACAGATATTATTCAGGCCCCAAACGATTGGGCCTCCAAACCGGAACTTGGTGCATTGGGTTTGGGAAGCATGTGGGATTAACGAACTTCAGGGAATTTGGGAACGCCCCGGACAAATGTGGGCAGCATTTGGCAGTGCGCTAAACATAGACATGGAGGGAATCTGCCATTTGACCGGGTAGGTCCAGCAGGCAATCCCCTCATATGGCGCTCAAAACAGAGGAACGCGTTTGGGTCTATAGGATTTCGGCCTTTTGACATGCGCACAAAAATATTCCTTGGAGGAAAATGTGCGCCGCCCATGCCCGTTCTGTCCATATCCATGAGCCTTGCTTCTAGGCTTCAAACGCACTGGCCTCCACGTTGCTCATTAATCAAGCAACAGCTGTTGCCAGCAGAACATCAAAGAAGCTAACCATTTTATACTATGCGAAGTAGAAACGGAGTACACTTGGCCTACTTTGCCTCAATTGCGTGCTCAAAGTAGAGTGGCATGATTAGACTCTCCGTCGACACGGGAGAGCCAACACTTCGAATGTTGTCTTGGCAGGATGGACCAATCGATGCATTGAGCTAGGTTCATTGCAGGTCTCCAAGCAACTTGTCGGAGCTCCAGGGCTGCAGCGCTCAAAATCCCCCCCGAAGCAAACGAGCGTAGAGTTGCGCGGAGGATCAGAGAGTTCTTCAGGGAGCAGGCGCGCAGAGCGTGGGTGCATAAGCGACCATGTCAATTCACTTGTTCGACGATTGGACGGAGCTGAGCTGAAGACAGGTGGCGTGGCAGGTGGCATGGCAATGCTTTCTTTCAGGAAACTCCAAGTCCGAATCAGAATGTCAGGCTGGGCTGTCGCATTTCTACTGTTGCGGGACCCCATTTTTTTTGGTGATCCTCCTTCTCCTTTCCTTTAACCAAGCAAAGGTTCCCTTAAGACATCCACACCCATTCAACCCAAACGGGTGTTCTCTATGACCACTGATATTGCGAAGTGATTGGAAAAGCCCGAGCTCATAAACGAAATGTGAAAGCTATTGGCAAATCTGGTGACAGAACTTGGGCAAGCAAAGGAGGACTGGGCAAGGATGGGGGATCCCTACTGTGGACGGACAAAATCCACGCCGGGCACCAGTTGGGATGGATGTAACCCTACTAAAACTGGGATAACTGGTGTGTACGTATAGAATGATGTTGTCCATCCCTTCCAGGCGCTTCTTGGTTTGTGCGAAGAACTTTCAGCCAGAGTACCGGTTTAGTGTTCAACAGTCCCTGGCGGATGGCATTCCGCTGCCGCCAAATATTCCCAGGTACTCGTCCTCTCAGGCTCCACCTTATCGTCCTTACCGTCGCCCTCGACAGCGCCTTCGGCGCGTAAGTCAAGGTCCTCCATGATCTGTGACTTGTCCATACCCAATGAGGTTGGATCCAAGCCTCGGACGATCGCAGAGCTTTCTGGGATCCTGTGGGGAATCCGGAGACACAACAATTCCATTGAAAGAGGAGTGGTGCCCTCGCCGAACGTGAAAACGACATGTCCTGAGTGGGGGCGAGCTGAATCCGGAATGCAGAGCGGTTGGGACCTTCCCATGCCCTGGCTGACTCGAGTTGACAACATGTGCACAACCTCGTGGGGGCACAAGTGCAATGTGCATACGCAAGTCCGTGCTAGCACCAGTGCGTTTCTCGTCTTTTGGGAACTGCTGTGAAGAGGTGGGCCGGGCATAACTTTCTCTCATTCGTGCCAGGCTATCGCAGGGCTGACTCATACTTAGGCACCCCACCCCAACTTAAAAAAGAGAAAGAAACAAGTACATGCGGCAGAGACAACAGTGGTAGATTCTCTGACTCCCAGCTGTTTAATCAGGAGCGTTCCCCTGGAAGGCAAACCTCCTCGCTGAAAGGGGACCCCGGCTGAACGAAGTAGCGGGGGGCGATTTTTCAGGGGTCAAAAGGCGCTTCATGCCATCCCAGCAGCTGGATCCCAGCGATGAGACGGTCCCCCTGAGGCTCGGCTTGCTGCCATACATCCAATGATACGCCTGACAGGCGAGCAGTGATCTGTGCTACTGCCTGAAACGATCGGACGATACCAAATCACTCCCCCCAAAAACCGCGTCCCCGACTAAACATATCACTCCTAGCAGACTGAAGACATCATGGACGCATTCAGTGTCCAGGTACGCCCGTCGGTTTAGGTCCTCCGAGTTGGGCCACTCCTTTGCCAGGCACAGAAGGCAGCATCGTACTGCTGCCTATCTGAGGAATCCCATTCAGTTGTCCTGTGGACGGACTGAATTTCTTCTTGATACTTGATACACCGGTGCAACTCATTTTTCAAGTTTAGCATTTGAGATTGGGGGTTGGGCGGAACAACATACAGGAATTTATTAATTAATGTATGTCGCATGGTTGATTGAAAACAGGTGTCGTTGGAGAAAGGAGGATTCCTACAACAAACCCTTCTATACATTGAACCATTCAATTGACAAGCGGGGATCCTTTTGATCAGAGTTGAACCTTTGGGTGTTTCAGGAACTGGCTTGGAACTTTGTCAGCAAAGGCAGCTGTCATCGGCCAGCGACGAGGTTAACGCTGGCCGAATCGAAGCAGTTCTTCTGCCACAGCAACATACTTGTTTTTGACCCCATGCCTGGTCATGCAATGGGAGGAATGTAGGTAAGGGTGCAGACTTTGGCTTTGCCAAACACCACAGCAACATAATTGCAAATTGACAGGAAGTCCTGATTGGCACATTCAACATTCAGGGCTCAAATTTAGTCTGTCTTGCAGTCGTTCAGGTCCTTCACACCGGCCCCCATAAAAAAGGGTCACAAGGCAGGGGCTGAAGATGGATCATGGGCCAACATTGAGGATGCAAACAGTGGAGGTGTGGCTGGAAGAAGGGTAAAAAGCTGAGACCCTTCCGTCATTTGCAAACGAAGCAACCGACATGGAGAAAAGGAACCGACTCGGCAGATTGTCAGTCGAATTCAATTGGAACCTCAAAGAATCAACGCGAAAACCGGGTAGTCACCATAGCACAACCCCCAGCCGCCTCTTTGGGGCCAGCCAAAGGCTAAGAATCAGCTTCCCTCTAGTTCCTGGTTGGACTGCTGGTTTAAAGGTTGGGTAGCTTCCCATCTAGCCTCAAGAACCAAGCGTTCAAAACACCAACAATCCAAACCAACTGCGCCTTACCTGAAACAATCTTAGGGTCCAACAAAACTTGATTTAAAACAAATATGTTTACCGACTAATCCCAGGGTCCAACAAAAAAACAACAGGTTTCCCACCAACTTACAAGTCAAAACAACAACAAACTGCACCAAAACCACAGCCCCGCCCAAAAAAAACAAACACACACACAAAAACAAACAACAAAGAAGGAACAAAAACCGGAAAAACCGGAGGGAGGCGGGGGTGGGGTGGTTTTTGGGCACCCCCCCGTTAAAAAGGGCCCAAAACTCCGCTGGTCTGGCGCCTTGAAGCCCAGGACTTGGAAGAGGACGCCCAGGCCGGCCAGGCACAAGGAGCCCAGGGCCCAGTACAGCACCAGCTGGCCGCGGTCGTAGGCGTAGAGCTCCACGTTGAAGGAGATCAGGGACAGTCCTCTCCAATTGTTTGCAAAAGACATTGCAAGCAAAAAAACGGTGCAACATAGTTGAAAACCACAAGAATAACCCACTCTTTCATCTGCGTTTTGTGTATCAAAAACTCCACAATGTTGTTCTCAACGCCCGGATTCTCCCGATTGTTGTCCAAGACTGGACAAACTGTTTCCGGCGAAGTGAGGCATTCACCAGGGGCGAAACCAAGAAAATGAAGCTTGTGGAAGGTTACTCCCCGTTGTGAGGTTGCGATTGTGCTTGCCTGTGCCATCCTGCGCCGGGATTGGCCTGAGTGCCCTGCGACGGGAATCGCTGGACATGGGGAAATTGGGCACGCCCTTCAAAGATATTTCCTAACATGCAAGGAACCCGCGACTGCAACTAATCCAACATGGTCCACGAGAAAGAGATTCGAAGCCCGCAAGCCTCGGACAACCCTGCCCAACTCAGTCTTGCCTCGTGTCAGGGGAAAAAGAACATAGCACCAGATTCGTGCTTTCTTTGGACTTGTCTTCAACACAATACCACATCCTTCACTAGGGTTTTAGCAACGCTTGCAATCCCTCGAGTTGTCAGTCCATCCTAACCGTCGCCAACGGATCAGTCCTACGTGCCAGATCGCCCCAAAGGGAAGGATGATCTGGCCAAAGACCTGAATCGAAATGGCTCGCCTTTCCACCCGACCAGATGAATTGACTTGTGGATTTTCCCCTCGGTTAGTGGCTTTGAGACTGGGATGGAGCAAGATTCAAGAATCTCGGCCGCACACGGAAACACCTGGTCCAAAGTAGATCAAGCAAGCTTCAATATTACCTCTTCATCGTCTCCTTGCATCCGAGATGAACATCTTTGGTCCTGATCTCTCTGATCCTGAACATGAAGTCAAGTCTTGTGGTTTGATCAACCCCAACAGCACGAACTCTGAGACGAGAGAAATGAAAAACAGACAACACCACAAGCCTTGTCATGAGCCAAGATATGTTCATCTAAAGTACCGCCCTCATTGTGCTGCCGGGTCCATGATGAGAGTAAGTCTTGAAGAAAACAAAGGGTGATGACGAGAAGGTAAACACAAGACAAGAACAACACATATCAACAGCACTCGAAAGAAGGGGAACACGTCACACAAACAAGTGAAGCTCTAGGTGGGTTGCAATTTGACTCTGCTGGCTGGACATCTGTAAACAGCGTTCCTTTGCGGCGATTGTAACAGACTCACATTAGTGCCAACATCAGCAGGCACATGTGCCGTCAACTCTCGCAGAAAAGTCTGAGATAGCCGAAGGTCAAACTACAGCCATCCCCCCCGTGGCCCCCCCGGGCTACATAATATTTGCCATTTGCGAACCAAGCGAGCTCATGGACATGTATGAAAGGGCCCGTCCGTATACTTCAATTCTAGATTCATTTAGCGGTTGTCATTTGCAGCTGCAAGGAAAACCAAACACGGATTCTCTGTTGAGTAGGAATTTCTGTCCCTAAGCCACAACAACAGGGTATTCGTGTACCCCCTGGATATGAACCATATCCTGTTTGCTTCCTTTTCAAAGGGGGCCATTGTTTGTTCCTTGTCGCAATATTCTGCCAATCCCTTTGGGCGTGCGTCGGCTTGGGGTTTGGTTATCACCGTACTCAGAGTCCAAGCTCAAACCCGCAGGACGTCTCACAGAGCTTCCCTCCTTGGGTTGCTCTCCAGGCATCACCAGTCTTCCATTTGCTTGGAAGCCAACATCCGGTGGATGGTTGCGACATCCAGTTCGCACCACACTGAAACCATGGCAAACCATTGAAACCGTGGGTATTTACAGGGGAATCACCATTCCACGGTTTCTGAGGTGGTGCCGGATTTCGTCCATTCACACCAGTGGTGATAGATTCCCTTCATTACCAAGGGAAAATCAAACATATCCCTAAGCGAATGGAAGCAGTCAGCTTCCCTCTAAGACTCTAAGTAGCTTAGAGCCGAATCGGTGGTTTGGTGGCTGAGGGGTGGCTTCTCGTTTACCCTCCACAAGGTTCACTTTGCCTAAGAAAACGGACATCGGAACATGCGTGGATCGAAACGTGGATTGGCTCGGAGCTACGGGTCCCAAACAACTGGCGTTGATTCAAGATGAGTAACAATCAGCTGCATGGAGCCCCAATGGCCCATCTGGGGCCACGAAATGCTGCACCACCTAAGAAACCCTGGAATGATTCGATTCCCCTGCAAATACCTACAAAGGTTTGTTTCACGCATGATTTCAAAGTGGCGCAAAGATGGACAAAACCAACCACCAATGTGTGCCAAGTCTCTTGCTGGTGCAACAAGCAGGGAATGAGAAATGGAATGACCCTTATAAACCATCCAACTGGCGGATTCCTTTCATCGGAGACCAAAGCCTGGGTTCATTCTTCACATTCCCTATCGCACCAGCAAGGTCCATTGCTTGGCTGCGCGCCAATCGATGCTACTCGCTCGACTCCGTCGAGCCACCTTCTGGCTGGCGTGGGCCAAGGCATTGTCCATTGGCGAGTCCCGGCGTCTCACCATCCTCGACCGGCATGCTACACTCAAAGGGGCGATCGAGTACGTAAGTGGTTGGTAGGCCTGGTTACAACCCACCTAGGAGACTTGTAACCATGGTAAATGGGTTGGAACCATGGGTATTTCCCACTTAATAAGTACAACGCCCCTTTAAGTATACAAATACTACCCATGTTTGTTTCCCTGAATGAGCAGGCGTCACCCCGGTGTGTGTGTGTGTAGGCAAGTCGTTGAAGCGAATATTGGGAGTCTCTCAAAAATAGGGAAAGCCCCAAACTGAGTGGTTTTATTTGGGCTTCCCTTTTGAATCATCTAAAATGGGTACCCTCAAAAAAACACACACCTATTATTATCAGCTCTCCATCAAGGCTAACGACAAATTTGACGAGATCAAGAGTGGAAGAACGTGCGAGGTTGCGTTCCACACAGGCGATGCCTTGCTGGATCCAACCATGAAGGACACCTGATGGAGTCCCTAAGGGGGGTGTTCCAAGGGGGGTAAGGAACCCTAAGGCTCTCAATTACCAACCCACGGATGTGTCTGAGAATGGGATTTGGACCCTATTCACGCATTTCAGAAAAGCTCCTGTGGCTTGGCATGATAGCAGGCTGTAGAGGCGCCCACAAGAGCGGGATTGTGGTAGCAAAGTGCATCACTGCCCATGAAGCCAACCCAATATATCCGGTGCATCTCTTGTGCAAAGACCCAAAGTGAGCCCTCGGCATCCGACATTACCGGTGGAACTTAGCTGAGACCGGTGCCATCCAAATATGTTCAACCAAACAGGCCGCCCATGCTCAGGCCGCTTATGCTGGCCGCTTGTCAACAACCAGACCCTAGCCCCCTTTGCAAGGTACTCAAAAGGGGTCACATGTTTGAGCAAAGGGTTTTTTTCCTGGTCGAAGGTAGCCTGTTTCACCAAAGGGTTGCAGGGAAACCAATGTGTCGGGGGCTTGACACCTGCTCCTCACCTCCCCGCGTTTTGATATGACTGCCACGGGGCAGCAGCTTCCAAATGCGGGAGTGCAGGTCGAGGAGTCGAGCCAGGAGCTGAGCGATCAACCCGTAAGGGTTGATGGGTGCAAACCTTGCGATCGCTTTCCGGCCGGAAGGGATGAATCGGCATATGTCTGCATGTGTCTACGTCCAAAAACTGAGCAAGAATTATCATGGTGATCTCGTTTTACGAGGTGAGATGAATGTCCAAGGCTCTAATGGCGAGGGGTTGCTGCTTGAAGGAAGCTGTTGGCAAGCAAGCATCGGCATGATGTTGGCAAACACTGCTTCCTACAGAAGCCCTCTCAAAGTAACGGAAGGAAATGGCTCACGCATTTTCCGCTAAGAAAGCGTTCCTGAGGTCCACCCTAAAAACAACGTGCCACCAACGAGAAGCTCAATTCAAAAAATGCAACCAGGCGACGTGTGATCCGCCAAAAACGCGAGGTATGAGTTTACCTCCGAAAGACGCCTGCCGAGCCTGGAAGCTAGGCTCGCTGGCTAACGCTTTGGTTCTAGGGTGCCCTGTGCACATTTTGCCCGCCCATTGCCACTGCTCTTTAGGCCATGAAAAAGGCAGCGATTGGCAAGGGCGCACCTTACAGCGTTACAGCGCATGTAACTAACCCAATTAGTTCCTGTGAGTATCTGATCTCTGAGCAGCATGACAACGATCATGAAGTTCATCTTGAGCATCTTCCTTGGCGCAAGCGCACATGCGTGGGCGTGTAGTATACCGCTGATTGCCACAGCGTCAGGAAGTACGAGTATCACCTATCTGGGCGACAATTCCTTTTCTTGCCTTGCACAACAACCAGCATATCGGAATCAAAAGGATTCAACTAGTGGTTTGGCTGAGTTCGTGATGCTTCATGGAAGCAAGCTTGCTAAGCAAGCTAGCTCGGGCGCTAATTTGTTGGCTAGCGAAATAGTGAGATTAGTGAGTTAGAGGTGGTTAGGTAGTTAGGTGTTTAGGTAAGATAGTGAGATAGTTTGGTAGAACAGTACCTCGATCGTTCGTTTTGTTACAGCGCCGTCGTTACTTTAGTGAATACAATGTGAATCGGTTAGGTAGTTGGTTAGCAAATGCTAGCTAATTAGTGAATTCGTGAGTCTGTGAGTCAGTCAGTCATTCAGTGATTCATTCAGCCAGTCAGCCAGTCACATAGATACTGCAGTTACATGGTTATTTGGCTAGTCTGTCAGTTGCGGCGCCCGCAAAGCAACACCCAGACTTTTCAATTCCGGAGCCAGCAGCCCAAGAGAGCGGCTGCACCTTCTGGCTGAGTTCCCTTCCACTTATACCCCAAACGCGGAGCTGCCCCAAAGTAGCTTCCCCTCAAGTTTACCCACCCCAAACGGTGTGTCTTCTTTAGGGGGCCCCCAACAAATGGAGGTTGTCCTGTTGTTTCCTCTATACAAACCACCCAAAAAAGGGTACCCCCCCAAAAAAAAACACAAAAACTCAAAAGGGCCGGCTCCTAAGACACCCAGTGCAATCCCAGGTTCAGCTCGTCGATGGGGTTGAAGGGCCGCAGCAGGCGCTGGTCCAAAGGCCCAAAGAGGTGGTTCAGTGCCTGAGCCCCTTGGGGGTGGCAGTCACCTCAGCTCGCTTCACGGCTCTACGACTACGGCCCCGTTCCCGCGTTGCACGCAAACCACCCAAACATCCCAAAGCTACTCAACCACACACAACAAAACATGGGGCAGTGCGCTCAATTCGGGGGTTCCTGAATCCCTGACTTGCGATCTTTTGGGCATCCACCTGCTTCTCTGGGGTGCAAGGGACACTGTTGGACTCGGGATTCCCCTTTGGCCAAGCCCAAAGAGTCTCCGGTGCGCAGAGATCGCGAAAAGGAACGACACACATGCGTAAAAATGCCCAGAGAAATGAGAAACCGCCAATGGTAAGGCCAAACCAGATTGAAACAGCAAACGAAAGGTTGCGCACCTCATGTTGCAGCCCTTAGTCAGCTTTATGTTGCGCAATTCGCTTTCCTGCAGAAAGTGAATCCGGATGTGCGACCCCACCGTGCGTCAATGCGTCTCAGCTGCCACAAATGTCGCTTTGACATATTCGGCAACACCTCAGCGCTTGCACAGCCCACGGCATACTGTGGATGGACGCATCCTGCACGACTTTGAAACCACGGGAAACCATTGTTTGTTGGTATTTACAGGGGAATCGATTCATTCTAGGGTTTCTTGGGTGGTGCAGGATTTCGTCCATCCACAGTAGGAACCCCCGAGCTACGTCTCATCATCCAGGGCAATGAGTGTTATATTTCAAGCTGCGCAAACAAAAGATCATCGGTGGTCCAAAGGACTCAGAAATAAATCTCGGTTGCTTTCTGATCCCCTGCTAAAAGTTTAACCTTTGGTGGTTTCATGAGAAAACCCATTAGTTGGCAAAAGTTAAAGTCCTAACATCCAAGCAACATGCACCAAAGAAAAGGTGCACCTTTTGGAGCCATGACTGAACATGGACAAACGTGGGAAACCAGAAGGTCGAAAGGTTGATCTTTGGGCAAGTGAGTCAATGGTCCAATAGAACGCATCCAGCCGAAAGAGCCAGCTTGGAACCAATTGACACCTAAGCTGCACACTCCGACGAAACCACCATCCAGCAAGTCCTAGTTGCTGCACTGGGAAACTAGTCAACGAAAAAGCTGTGATGAAGCAAGCACGCAAACAAAAACGAAACAGCAAGACTGAACAAAACAACAAAAGCAAACAAGCCGTACGCAACGCAACGCTCATGAATCAATATCACTAAGCGAACACCATACTTGAAACAGACCAAGACAAAGCAGAGATAAGCAAATATACGCACGCATGTACATGTCTACACATGTCATTGCAGGGTACCACAGTCCCGCAATCACTGTTCAACGGCTTTGTCAAGACTCGCAAAGGTCCAAAACCGGCTGAGCAAACTTGACAAACCATGCCAAGCGACAAGTCGGGAACCAAACGAGAAGATCAACACAACCCTTGGCAACGTTTAAGACATCCACGCATCCAGGCAGGTCCCCTGTTTTCTGTTTGGGGGTTGGGGAAGCAACCAAAGGCCCCCCTTGCAACATCCACAAGCCAGGAAGGCTTTGGAACCTTCTCCTGAAGACGCATTGGGCGTGCATTTTCCCTTTCCCTTTACCACCAAAACCAGGGGTACCAACTAACACGAGACCAGCCCCCATTCCGGTGGACGGGTCGGTTCTGACTCCTTCGGAAGCCACTCGAACGTCGACGTGCGCTCAACGCTTCAGCCGTAGACTCCATCTCTCTGGTCCTTTGCTGGCGAGGTCGTTTCGGCAGCGGTGGTGATGTCGGCAGCTCCAGTCCTTGTCCGCGTCTGTCCAGTGCCTTGGGCGGAAACAAATCGAGGTTGGAAGAGCCAGTTGGGCGTCTGCTTTGGAGGGGACCCGCACAAAATTGCGGCTTTCCTTTTTGGGGCTTACCTGCAATACCAACAAAAAAAGGGTGCACTCAAAGCAAGACACACCCATGAAGCTTGAAGTGTTGGCCTGGGCCAAAAAAATGGAAACTAAAAGGAGGTTGTATAAACAATGGTGGTTAAAGAAAACACGGCCAAACCCCAGGTCACTGACAAAACAAGCAAAGGAGGCTTTAAAACAATACCGACACATGCAAGCGTTCAAACGGGCCACGGCGTATCTTTCCGCAAGCCCTGAGAAATAGGTGACTGTACGACGCTACATGCTGGGAATCCCATGGTTAGATCCTGGATACGTATTTGTTGGGACACCAATCAAACCACGCAGTCGTGCGGCCCAAAAAAGGGAACTAACCTCCAGAAGTCATGGTGAGACCCGCCAACAAAAAACCAAGAAAAAAAAAACATGTTGACCTATTGGACCCACCGCACACGGCGAGTGAACGCAGGTCGAGGCACATGTCCCGCTTGCAGCCGTCGCATACCGGGCCCAGGACCTCAGGACGAAAGCCACCGGGGGAAGTGCCGGGTAGAAGGAACCCCGTTTTTGGGGGATGATTCCATGGTACTCTGGTTACCTATATGGCCATGGGTCAAAATCCAAATCGTACCCCCAGTGAACATCCCAATCCAACCACTAAAGTAGGTTCTAAAATGGGTGTTGCACCTACCCTAAAATCGTACCATTGGTTTTGACCCACAGCCATATATGGATTGGTGGTTTGGATTGGCGTTCGGGGGTGGTAAATGTCGTTTACCCCGAGCAGAGGTTGAAATCCAAGCCCAAGACGGGCTCGCAACCAGCGAAGGGCTACCTGTAAGGGGCTGACCACAAAGTTGGACGGGGATTCGCTGAACTGGGATGGGCTGTTGGGGATGCCTGGGGATGTCGCCCGTTTGACACCCGTCCAAGGTGCCTGAAATCAGAAACATGGGAGAATCACCTGGAATTGGAGAAGGTATCCTTGAAACAAGCTTTCAGCAAGTACTGTAATCTTGAACAAAGCCACCATTGGGCTAGAGGAATTGATTTACTCTTCTTGGCCGTGGTTGCTCAAACATCATCCTGATTGCCAAACTTGCGCTCGCTGTCAGCCTGGACAGGCGTCACTGTTGCATTCGGCTGCCACTCGACGCGGCCCAGTGTGGACAGCCAAGAGCAAATTTCAAGAAAACAGTTCTGACCTTATTGGTCCGTTGCTGTTTTGGAATATGTATGGACATGTCATACATGGCTCCACAACCTAAGATAAGAGTACTGGAAAGCGGCAAGTGGACAAACACTTCCACCCCAGTTGCAAGGTATCAACCATGGTGAGAAGGAAGCGAGCCTCCATGCGGCCATGTGCGAATAGGTGTGTAGCCCACTATCTCCAGGTTTGCGGGTTGGCAGAATTTTGTCCTGTGAATGGTGGCTGGATGTTGATCACCTCAAGCAGTATGGCGAACACACGAGTGGCAGGTGCCTTTCAGGCAGACCGCCGACATTGCTCCGTTCTGCACCTGGAACAGAGACACTGTCGCAGTTGTGCTAAGCTTCAATTTGCACAACACTGTGGCTGTATATTTCC